AAATTTTTCGGATGCAACGATGCTCCGGGCGGGCAGGGAGGGCCCAGAAAAGCTGCAGCAGCGAGCGTTTCAGTCGCAATCCATAAAAGCACATGGATGGCTCTCTCACTTTTTTCGCAGCTGGACGACTTCTCCCTTGTGCATCGCCTGGAAGCTTGGAACAACAGAAGCGAATGTACAAGGCTTCAGAAAAGCGAGGCTCCGAAACAGGGGCCTTCAAAGGGCAAAGTGCAGCCAAATTTTTCGGATGCAACGATGCTCCAACTATGCTCCGTACTTCGAGGGGACTAAGTCCGAAGAAGTTTCGACTCGTAAAGGCTCAGAAGGGAAGCTGCAAAAGGCGCCAGCTCGAGCACAGCGGAGCGCTGACTCTCTGTCAGGTCGGTCAGCAAGAGCTGCCCTGCCACGTCCTGCAAGTAGTGCTCAAGGGTGCGCCTTTGTTGCCATCTGCCGCGCCACTGAATCCGTCCAATGTCCTCAGTCAGCTGATAAAGCCATGTAGCACCAGAGCCTCTAAGGCACTTAGGAGTGATTCCTTGCTCGTTGTCACCAGTCGGCACGCCTAAGTGCTGGAACACGCAATTCCATCGGCGGCGGAAGACGGCTGGTGAACAGTTGAACAGAGGCTCAGCACTCGGAGTAGAACCGTACAAAGCTTCAAGAAACCGAACAGCGAGGACATCAGAGACCTTGGCATGCTGGCGTTGCAGAAACCGCTTTGTTTTTGATCCCAGAATGCGGACATACGCAATGGGAGTGCTGGTAAGTAGATCGCGTGGAAGGATGAGGTCCCTCCTTCGAAGCTTGAGAAATTCGCCAGGACGAAGAAGCCCGTGAAAACCCAAAAGCAGAGCAGCCGTAAAGAAGGGCCAGCCCCAAAGCAGAGCCACAGTGATCGCTGCTTTGTAAACGGCTTCAGGGATAATCATAGATCGCTCTTGTGGTTCTTCCTCTTCCCAACGAGACAGCACACCCCAGGCAGCCGCAAAGTAGCTGCGAAAATGTCTGAAGCGATCGGTGCAGCTATTGATTGTTTCTGAGAAAACGTACTTGGGAGACCCAGAGTAGAAGAGGTACTTGCCGTAGGCGACTAACGTCGTGCTGAGAAGAAGCCCTGAACCGCACAACTGGGAGAACTGACACTGCAACTGGCCCTCGGCCCAAGCACTGAAATTTGAAAAGAATTTGTCGCGGCGCTGAGCCACCAGGCTGCTGAGGCCTCCAGTAGCATCTAAGTTGACCTCAGATCGGGCAACCAGAAAGTCCTGGCGGCGCCTTGGCATCCCAATCACAGATCAGCTTGAGCACGATTAGCCTGGCCCACCGTCCAGGCGCTCCTGAGCAGTCGTCAGCACGTCGCACAAGGTCGAAGTGTCTGTAATCGCCCCGCAGCAATCTTTCCAGCCACAGCGGCCGAACACCGCAGTGCTTGCGCAAAACTCTCAGTCTAGAGGGGTCGTCAGCTACATTGTCATGGGTGCCAATATGAAACAATGCTGGATATAGACCGCCACCTAAAATATAAGGAAGGCAGCTGCACATGTAATGGTTCATAGTGGCACTACTCGACCGGCCCTTCGCATTGCAACCGATCGTCACACGACTGTCGAGCAACACCCCGAACCGACTTTGAGCTTGTGTCTTGGCCAAGAGCTTCACAAGGCTGCGGTAGCTGAGTTCTTCGTTCACGTTGATATGGTTCAGCTGCCGGAAACGATACTGGATAATGGTCCTCCAATCCAAACAATGACCCAAGTCTGCAACCCAACGAGGGGGCTGATGAGCAGGCCGACTCAAGGTGACTGTACGGGCCTTCAGTTCATTGATGGCGGGGAGCTGCAGGTCTAGCAGGTGCTTAGCCGCTGGCAAGGGGCACATACCGGAGAACTTGCACAAGGCTTCACCGGGCTTGGGATCACGGCCAAAAACCTCCAGGCTACTGGGTCTGCAAAGCCGCCGAAACTGAACTATGTTGTCAGCTGAGAACGTGGGCCCAACTCGCAAATGTTTGTCCTTCAAGGGGCAAGAGCACGTGCCTCGCATCTTGAGTAAGTCGGTGTTGTTGGCGAGCCACCGCGAAGGCGTCATGAAGGGTGAGCCGTAAGTACAAAGGCAAAAGTCCACCTCGACAAAGCCACGAGCCTTGAGCCTTCTGAAGCAATCCAACCGGAACATGACCGACCCACGCGGCTGCTCACAGGAACAAAGCAGCCCATAAGCTGCACAAAGATGCAGGATGAAGCCACTGCGCGTCGCGAAGCTGTTTCCTCGACGAGTATCGGGATCAAGAGTGCTAAAACCCCAGGGTTGATTCTTGGATCGCAGCCGAGGCCGAACCATGGTACCGAAAGTAGTACAAGGAGGAGCTACATGGATGTACGCGACGACGCGTCGGGCTATCAACCCGACGATGTGCAGTAGAGTCTGCTGCTGCATGATGTCTCCGCGTGGTCCATCCGCAACGTCAAAACCTGGGTGAACTCTGAGTCCTAGCTTGCGACCAACAGGGCTAAGGTTGCCCTCCCCGCGGAACACTTCAAGCAGGTCGAACAAGAATCCCTCGGTGAGCTGGCCAGGAATACTGCAAGGTTGATCGGACTCAAAGTCGGGGCTTTCAAAGGAAGCCAAATAAGCAGAAAGCTTGGGCTGCAGTACCGTATGAAAACCCCTATGGTCAGCGTGCCTAAGCAGTTCCAGGCTAGCCGTAGTTGAAACTCGGGCGGCGCACACTCCTGCTGCGAATGGGGAAGCGTCTGTGCAATACAATGTATCCAATGGCTTCGCACGAAGATCAGTTTGAAAGCACGGAGCCAAAATCACTAGCAACAGGAGCTCTTGCCGGGCCGCCTGCGAGAGGCAAAATATCTCATTCGCGCGACAACCGGTGCCCTCGTGAAAGACTTGTGTCAGGATACACATGGCTGGCCGCCTGAACATCAGCACAAAAATCCACGAACCCAGAATACACTGCAGTAACTGTGGAGTGCTATGTCCCAGGACAATCAATTGCATGGTGAGGGCACAGAGTGTCGCCGTCTTAAGCCTCGGCGATGCAAGATCCCCTCGGATGCCGTCGAGCTGGCCTCCTAAGACGATGCCAGAATAGGAGTTGCGAATAGTCTTCTTTGGGGAAGCGCGCAATTCAGCAGCAGCATATGCTAGAGCAGCAGCGTGCAATAAACGAGCATCCTTGCGGTTGGGGGAAGGGGCTTTACCAGCTTCACCTCGAGGAACCAACAAGAGATAGACGTGATCGTCTATACATAACAGGTCAAATCCAGGACCGCGTGGAAGAACATGCTTATAAGCAACTCGTTCATGACCGGCTAGACAACCTGCTCGCTGAAGAAGGTTAGCATGTGCATGTTGAGCAACTTCAACCGCAAAGTTCGTGCCCATTGCTAGGCTGCGGAAACACCCGACGACTGGGAGATCGTGCAGTTCCGGCTTATAGCACCGCCACCCTGCAAAATCAGAACCTCGGAAAACCCCATGTAAATGGTTTCGGGAAGCATGTTGGTCGGTGACCCGGAACCCATGATAGAAATCCTTCAGGTCATCTGAGTTGATCACCAGGTTCTGGCTCGGCGGAATGTATATACCGCACAGCAAGCACGAGTGCGCAAGTGAAAAGGTTGCCTCTGACACCGAATAAGAACGGGAATTCTCGGGGATAGGGTTGAGGATCTGCCTGTCCAGGGTGTCGCTCTTATAGACGCTGAACAAACCACAACGATACCGATACTCCGACGAGGAAGCGGGAACCAGATATAGGCACTCGACATCGTCCCACTTCTTGTAAAGTTGAAGCTGTTTGTCTAAAGGAGCTTGTACTCGGGCAACCTTTGGCCGAGGCCACTCGTCCTCATGCCGGCGGAAAATCCGGGGATCTCTAAAGCCAGCTCGCAACAATGGGTCCACAAGAAACTTCTCGGCCTGGAACCTGGGGGCCTCGTCAAAGGAGAGCCGAGAGGGATCGATGGGCTTACTGACCGTTGCGAGCTTGGCCTTTGTCACGTTGGCGGAAAAAGCGGTTTCCGGCTCACGGGCGGCAGCTGCTGTACCACCTCGGCCGGGCTTGGAATAAGGCTGCATCTGAGAGAATAATTTAGCGCTCATACGCTGCAATTCTTGGAGCTGCAGGTGAACACTGTCGAACTTCTGAACGGACCGATCAAGACCGCGTTTGGGGCCAGACCCCAAGCGGATCCACGTAGAGGCCATTGCCTCCAACCTGCCAAGCATAGCAGTTTGGGAAGAGCTCAAAGGCGGCAAGGCTGCGGGTGAAGAGGCAGGCTTGCCCAACACCAACCAGTTATTCGCTGCAACGATGTGGCGAGTAACATGCCTGATGTAGTGCCGGCGGTGCCACCGCGCCAAGCGCCGGCCACCGAGCTTGGTCCTAGGGACGGGCAAGGGTGGCGGGAGCTGGCAAGGCCAAAGATCGGGGCTCTGCGAGGCAGCGCCCGAAACGGGTTGCGAACTTGACAAAGAAGAATGAATAAAAGAAGACAGGCGAGTACGAGCCCTCAGCAAACTCCTGGAAATGCATACACAAAGTCGAGAAGCACTGAGTACATCGTCCAAGCCTGCCGGAAAAAGCTCGGGCAGGAACCAAGCCGAACGGCTCAGGCCGTCGGCTCCGGTGGATCCCGTCCCTTCTGGCCGCGCTTTCCTCCACGGCCTCCCTTTTGCTCTCCTGGGCCAGGTGTTGTCGTGGTGCTCGAGCTTCCCGGCTGCTGAGATTGGTGGCTCTTGGCCGTCCGATCTTGGATGCTTTCCACATCCTTCAGGTAGGCTAGGTTGGCCGTAACCCACCTTGGGTCGGCCAGGAGCCCGTGTGGGACTTCGCTCCTCGGCGCTCGCCTCTGCTCCACCAAACTGAAAGGCGGGTCGTCGCGAAACGTGAGGAGCCACCCGAGTCGAGTGGCCCCGCCTTCGTTGGCCACCTGTTCGGCGAACACCAGGCCGAGGCTGATCAGGCTCATGACCTCCTCGGACCTCCCCTGCTCCATCGCCTCCCAAGCGTCGCAAAGAAGGAAGGCGAAGTATGTGAGGGTCTTGTAGTGGCCGAGGGGAACAACATCCTGGAAATGATAAAACATGTCCCGAGGTTCTAGGGCAGCCGTGCTGCCCTTCCTCCTGGCCTGCGCCAATCTTTCGCGCACCTTGTGGTAGACTTTCAAGGGGTCCTTGTGGATCTGATCCTTCAAGAGCTGGCGTGCGGCCATACCGCGGATCCCCGGAACCTTGGTCTCCTCGTCGGCACCGCCGCCGCCGAGAATGCTCAGCGGATCCGAGGATTTCTTGGTGGTGCTGGCCACAAGCGCTGCTAGAAGCTTGGTCTGCTGGCTGAGAACCTTTGCTAGTGCACGCCCCTCGTCCTCGACATCCTCGTTGGCGTCGGCCTCCACGGCATCCTCGGCCAGCGGCTCCACGCCCCCCGCGGGGTGGGGTGCAGGAGCAGCCTTGGCTGCGGCCCCTAGGTAAAGCTGGGCAGCCCCTGGTTTCGCAGGAGCGGCGCTGGGCCCCGCTAAGTCGCCCAACCTCTGGGGTCCTTTGCCGGCGAGCTGCAGCAGCCTGTGAAGCTGCTCCTCCGGAAGCTGAGCCTTGGCGCCCTCGCTGAAGAGCTGGGGTGCCCACTGAGGTACTCCACCACCTCCCAAAGCCGGGGCTGCGGCGGGCGCCGGCGGCGCTTCGGGAGCTGCCACCACCGGAGTCTCTAAAGACAGAAGCCTGGTGTTGAGGCTTGCAAGGGCCTCTGCCTGAGTGGTGGCGTGCATCAACAGCTGCTGCAGGACGTCGTTCTGGACCGCCTCGTTCGCCACGGGAGCCGGCAAAGGAAGAGGTTCGCCCTCGGAGCCGCAAGTGAAGTACGCATCCAAGCGGTCGGGAGGGTCTGCCGCGGAGCCGTCCAAAAAGCCAGCCAGTGCTTCGAGAACGCGGACTCGATGAGGCCATACACTCTGCAAGCGCTGGGTGCCAAACACCTTGAGCTCGAGGTCGGGAAAGGGGTCCTCTTGCAGCCTGTCGATGCCCTCGGCGGCCACGTCGATGAGCAGGCAGACAACGGTCTTCTTGAGCTCGCGGCCGGACACTGAAACAGCAGGCACTGAGGTAACGAAGTGGGGACCAAACATCCCAGGGTAACCCTCCGCCTGGAACCCGCTCAACTCCTCTTCGGAGAAAACCCCGGTAGGCAAGCAAACCATAAACCCGGAGCCCACGGCGCGAACGATAAAAGCCTGGGCGCAAACGTTGCCATGGTTGAAGAAGAGCTTGGTGTAGCCCTCGGCCGAGTCTGCTGTGCGCCATCCTTGCAGGTAGTCGAGTTCACCGGCTCCTGCCTCGGCTGCCAAGGCAGCCATTTGCGTAGATCAACTGAGCCTCGAAGATGTCGAGCGAGGCAGGTCACCGAAGCCGAGCAAATGGCAGGAGTGGCCCGAGGATCCCAAGGCCCGAAGACCGTAGGACGCCTGCTTGAAGCGCCGCTTGAAGTAGATGTGCCT